GATAATAGTTTGTGATATGGTTTTAAAAGAATGAAGTACATTTATCATATATACATATATGTGTGTATATATATATATATATATATATTGAATTAGTTTCCTTTATTCTTAAGTATTATTATTTATAATTCAGTTTGTTTCAGGTATTTTGATATTCTTTTGTGTTTCTTATTCTTTTGTTCTGTCATGTTTTTGCTATTTCCTACTTAATGCCTACTGTCCCATCTCTGCATGCCTCAGTAAATAAAATTATTTTGTAGGATCAGTGCTACTGAATTGAGGATGTGTAGTCATTCTTTAAAGATTTCAAGGGGAATGTTATATGCTGTCTCTGGTGAAGTTATGGATACACTTAACAGTTACCACCACTTACTTCCTTGATCACTTCTGTCTTTCCTAATTATTGCACAGCCAGAGCCTTCTGTGACTACTGCCAACTCTGATAGCACTCTTCTGGCTTGGGTGTCTTCTCTGTGTTTACAGTGAAGACAGCAGATGTTGGTCATTGTTGACATTACCATCAATTCTAGATGTGGGGAGGCAGCAAAATGGAAGATACAAGAACAAAAATAGAGTCCCTTGCTTCAGAACAGTTCTTCCACCTGACATGCATCTTTCTTAATGTGAATGGATAAAGTTGGACAGTGTGGTGCTAAGGTGTAATGAAACATTAATATGTATGTTTGTATTGCATGTGTGTATTTCAGTGACTAAATAAGCTGTATATTCTTTAGTGGGTGGCATTGTACATGGCATTAAGTAATACCGAGCTCTTGGTGGAAAAACCTAGATCATTCTCACTCAAACAAACTTCTACAAGTTGTTTTTTACTTAAATGCATTTTTAAAAAAATAGCACAGTGTCTAGCAGACTAGACAAATAATAGACACTCAGTGAGTTATACTGTTATTCTTTTATATTGAATAATTTCCCAGTACATTGTGCTTTTATGCCTCTCTTTTTTTCCTTTTAAACTCTTTAATAATCCTAAATAGCTAGAGGAAAAACTGCATTACTATGGAATTGTTTCATCAATTCTTGCTCTCTTTTTTTTGAGTGTGTTCTTAATCTTCTAGTTCTGTTACATTCAATAATGATATCTCAGTAACAAAGAATGAACAATAATATAGTTGTGTGTCTCATAACATCAATTTAGCATGGACCATATATATGAAAGTGATCCTATAAGGAGAATATAGTCTATGCCATATAGTCTAGATGTGTAGTTCGTTATACCATATAGGTTTGTGTAAGAACACTTTTTGTTACTTGCATGACTAAATTGTCTAAACAATTTAGATTATATCCCTGTCATTAAGTGACATTTGACTGTACTAGTTAGATTAGGACCTGTGTTAGTAACTCTGTACTGAAGCATTTTCTCATTTATTTATTTAGAATTATTTTATTTAACTTTATTTACTTATTTACTTATTTATTTTTATTTGACCAGAGAGGGACCAGAGTGGGGGAGGGATGGTGAAAAATCAAGCTGCCAGGTCCAGGACTCTAACCACGGTCCGCTATGTGGGGAGTTCAGTGCCCTTAACCCCCCTGCCACCTGTTGGCCCCAAGCATTTTATCATTTAATTTTTCTTATGATCATTTATTTAATTAGGTTCTTGACAAAAAATTTAGAACGCTAATTTGTGAGGATAAACTCTGTTTGTAAGGGCAAACATGGATCGCAAATAGCCCTAGAGCTGAGGAACAATTTTGATTTTTGATAAAATTTACTAGTTCACAGCTTTCTGATTAACCTTGCACTGCTCAGAAATCTTGTATTTCTCCTTCTCTGTGTTAAGATCTTACCTTCCTGGTGTCTGGGCTTCCACAGTTTCTGTTTCTTGAAGTAAGCGTCAGTAAGGTGCTTTGGGATTTTTACTTTGCTAATACCAATTTTCATGGAGGTGGCAATGACAAATTGCTGGTGTGCTCTGCACAATGGAACTCAGTTGAGAACCAGCAGTCCAGTCACAAGTAGCAAGCCACTGCTCAGCTGCTCAGGAAAACCACCCTTTTGCCTTGGTGGCGTCCAGTGAGGATGATCAGAATGGTCCCCAGACTGATGCTAGTTCGCAGCTTTCTCACAGGGTTTCTCAAGGGTTTTTGCCATGACTCAGCAGCTTTTGAGGCACATCTTCAGTAGGATAATACCTAGGCATTTTGCGCAGTTTAACCACCCGGGTACCACCATTCTTGTCTCCAGCAACTGGTTTTGTGACAGTCCCAAGAACTTTCTCCTTTTTCTTTTTGATCCTGGTTTTAGTGGCCGAGTATTTCCTCTTGTACAAGGCCTTCTTGGAATACATGGCAGACTGGGAGTATCTGCCGAAGTCCCAGAGGAGGGCCGGGTTTCAGCTGCGGTGAGGCTTCCCCTTCTTGGGCTTTTTAGTCTTGGGGTCACCCTTTTTAACCTTGCCACTGGCATCAACCTTCTTGGCTTCAGGTTTCTTCTTCTTAGTATCCTACTTTGCAGTTTTTTCACCATCTTGTATAGTGGGAAAGAGAACTAAACTCTCATTTAATTCTCAAAACAACCCTATTAGGTAAAAATTGTTATCACCATGTTAGAGATGAGAACTCAAAATGCTAAGTAAGTAACTCAACCAGGATTACCAACTAATGGGAGGTGATGTCAGATCTGAAACCAGGGTGTGTTTAAAGCCAAAATTCATGTTCTTAACCCATTAGCCTTTCTTTTTTCTCCACTATTCCAACATTTCTCTGTAAAATTCTAGAAAGCCTTTTTTATCTAACATTGATTATTTGAATTCCCCCACTATAGAATATTATTACTTACTAGGTAATAATTTTAGGAAATTAATACTAAATCTCTAGACATCTATACAGCTAATTGAAGCTATAACTTGAATACATATAGTTCCTGATCTGAAGAATTTGTACTGAAGTTCTTTGCATTCTCCCTGAAAACATAATTTATTTAAAATTCCTTATTTCTAAAATTGATAGTTTGTTGGCATGTAGAAATTAAGAACTTTGAGAAGGGAAAGTGTCTATGAATGTCTGTGAGAATGAGAATCTAACACTAGAGTTCTTATGAATAGCATTTAGCACAGCATCTGCTCCATAGTTAGGTACTCAGTAATAGTGCAGGTTTATTTTATCTTCATATAAGATGAAGTACCTATCAGGGCTAATACTTAGAACAGGCCCTCCCAACACACACACACCACAAAGCAGTTGTTCCAGATGACACCATAAGTTTCTTTTAAAGTATAGGCTGTTGGGACTTCTTAAGAGTATGTTGATAGGAAATTATTTCCGTTGTAGCCCACATTCTTTAAATTTCTTAATGAATTGCTCCCCCCTCCCCTGTTATTGGTAGAGGGAATGTGCACTCATCAGAGAGAAAGAAAACATCCCTAGTGGGTATGGTCATACCTCAATCTTTTTTCCTTCATTCCCACTTTCTGTCAGAATTTCAGGCATGTGTGCTCTTGTGACCTGTGTGTTTTTCATGCCTCGGGTTAGGATTTAAACTTCAGTTGGCCATGTAGGATCCAGTTCCCTTAACCACTGAGCTACAGGACAAGCCCTTTTTATGTACTCTTTATTTTTAATTTTTAAAATTTCACTTGAGCTCACCCGAGAGAGAGAGAAAGACAGAGAGAGAGAGAATGGACTCTTGCACTCTTTTCCTCCATTCATTTCTCGGTCTTGTCAGGATTTTGGGCAGGCACACATGCCTGACGTGGTTTTCAGACCACCAGAGCTAACATTCACATCTTGGTCAGCTGGGTGGGATCTGGTTACTTAAACCACTAGGCTATGAAACCAGCCCTTTATGTACTCTTTAAAGTTGCATTTTAGGCCTTGGGATTTGATTTAGAGTTTGTTTTGTTTTGTTTTGCTAGAGAGAAAGGGAAAGTGGGAAGTCACTCCAGAGGGAATGGCCACATTGCAGCCCCTTTTCCTCCATTCTCCTCTTGGGATCTTGGGCACACATGCACACACCCTCAGCATAATTTCGGTCTGGGACTTGAATCACACAGTCAACCATGTAGGATTCAGTGCCTTAACCTCTGCACCACCTGCTGGCTCTAAGCCTTGATTTAATAGCATTCTCCCCCAACACACAATTTTGTAGCTTAAAGAGGTAAACAAAACAGAAGCTTTTAGATGTGATTTTTTTTCCCCCAGTCAAACATTGTTATTCTCATCAATTTAAGAGGTCTAGGGATTTGAGTAGGTACCTAGACCTTAGGAAGGGACCTCCAGACTTGCAGAATGCTCAGGAATAGAAAGTCTATAGAGAAGTATCCCTGCTGAAAAAGGCCAACAGGTAATTTTTCTAATACCACTATTACTTTATTTCATTGTTCTCAGTTTTGTTCTTTCTCACTCCCATTAATTAACTGTATTAATTTTATTATAGAAAAAAATAGCAACTAGTAAAAATCTATGAAAGAAAGTAAATGATATAACTGTGGATTTTTATTATAGTAATATTTAGCTTAACAGATTTTGTGTTTTTTGTTTTGTTTTGTTTTTAACTTGCTGTAGGGTGCATGTGCTCATCTGGGAGAGATGGGGAAAGTAAGAAAGCACCCCCCTCCCCCAGGGAGAATGACCATGCCACAATCCCTTTTCCTCTGTTCTCCTCTTGGGACTTTGAGCATGCACAAACATATACATGGCATATTTTTTAAGCTGCTGGGTCCAGGACTCGAACTGCACAGTTGGCCACATGAGGTCCAGTCATCTTAACCACCATGCCACAGGCTGGGTAGTTTATGTAAATCGAAAATAAATTATATCCACTTTAAGACATATTTCTCTATTTGTGCCTACTTATTTTAAATAATGTTATATTTGCAAGTTCAAATGCAGTTTATAGGATACTATTTCCAGAAAGGCTATATCCTCTTCTATTCATGGACTGATACCTGTTGGAAGCATAATATAGATAGACATATTAAAAAGCAAAAATGAATAAGAAATGAAGCAGTTATAAATATTTACCTAAAAACATGTTTTTTTTTTTCAGGATCATGTGAAACACATGTGGAATATACTTATATCTATTAATCTCATGATCTAACGTGCTATATTTTTGTTTATAAAAATAGTGAACTTAAGGATATACCTATTTATTTTGTGTATCCTTCTCCTCAGTTTCCTGTCTTCTCACATGAATTGTTCCTCATATGATGCTGTGTAACACTGTGAATACTGATATCTTGATCTCTTCTTTCTATATACAGTAACAGCTTGAGATTATTACCCAAACCATCTTGTCTGTAGCCTCAAGGGGGCAGCATTTACTAGTAGCCATGGAAGATCACTTTAGCAAGAGATAACAAAAATATCCTTCTGATATATCTTATGAGTACTATTGCTCAGACTTATAGACCATTAGCAAATAGTAAAAACACAGAAAGGCATCACCATTAAATATACCTCTCTTTTTTGTATTTCAGTATAAAACACCTTGATATGTTGATTATGTGAAATTTTTTAATAATAAAAAACTTGGTAGTTTAAGAAAAGGAGGGAATGTTAAAGCCGAAAGAATCTTAGATATTATCTTATTTAAAATCCTCATCTTGAAGGGTTGAAGTGACTTTTGCCTACACTTAAAACCTCTTCCATGGTGATTTCTACCACTCTATCTTAATTCTGTTTTCTAAAGATCTGTGCATTCAGACTACGTATAACCTCTTACATCATTTTTAGAGTAAATGTTAGTTTCAAGGTTTTAAAATGATCTGTCCTTGCTCACTTTTTCTTTAGAATACACTTTCCCAGTTCAGTTTGACTTTAGAGGTTCTGGTGTCAGGTTTGGTCACTATTTTATTTACCTTGACCGATTCCATTCCATAAGTGACTTTTAAATGGGTAGCTAGAATTGAACACAGTATTTCATTACTGCTAAGAATTAATTTTTTTTTTGAGAGGTCTTTGCCATAGGGCGTGTGCTCTTGCCAGGCAGACAGAGAGAGACAGAGAGATAGAAAGCAAGAAATCACCCCCAGGGGGGATGGCCACACTGCCATCCCTTCTCCTCTCGGGATCTTGGGCATGCATATACACACACCCAGTGTGAGTTTAAGCCCCCAGGTCCAGGACTCAAACTGTGGTCCACTACATGGGAGTCCAGTGGCAACATAGCCATTATGCCAACTGCTGGTCCCTGAAATACTATCTTCTGTTGGTAGACATTTTTAGTTGACTTAATTGTCACTGTACTCAAATTGAATTATTTTTCTTCCAAAATATGGTTTCCCTTCTGAACTTCTCTGTTAGCGTAATAATAATATTAGTAGCAGTTGTCATTTATTGAGAATCTAGAGCAAGTTCCTTCACATGCAGTTGCTTTAGTCTTCTATCATGCATGAGTTAGATTTTATTATTTATATTTTATTGATGAGGAAACAGAATCAGAGAGGTTGAAAGATTGCCTAAGGTCATATGGCTAGTTAAGAGGCAGTTTGAAAGTTTGACTCTTTGATCCATCAAGATAGTCTCCTATCCATGACATTTGTACTGTCCTAAAATGTTTTTCATGTGTGTATATATTTTCTCACTAACCATTGTGAATTTTTTTTTTTTAAGATTTTTGCCATAGAGTGTGCATATACTTACTGGAGAGACAGAGATGGGGAAAGTGAGAAATCACCCTCTCCCCCAGTAGGGATGGCCATGTTGGAGTCACTTCTCTTCCATTTTCCTGTCAGGATTTTTGGCATGCACACACATACACAAGTGTGGGCTTCTAACCATACAGTTGGCCATGTCCAGAGCCTTAACCGTCATGCCACCTGCTGGCCCACTGTTGTAAAGTTTTAAGAATGGAATTCTGCTATACATGTAACTTCAATCACATTCCCAAAGTAATTTTTATCCCTAGAGGTTAGAACTCCAAAACTTTTACTTCTCATTTCTGATAACTTTTTCTTTCAACGTTTTATTGTCTTTCATTTGTATGATAGTCTTGTATATTTGTATTTTGTCTTATTTTGTTTTGATTCTTTTATTATAACTTTTAATGTGAGGTTTTAATTTAGCATTTACCTAGCTATCCCAAATATTCCCTTTTAAGTGAACAAATATATTTATTTTCCCAAAGTTTTAATTTATTTTCCTTATACAGTACTTAAAAATGGTATGCTACCATTTTATTACTATAAGAATATTCATCATTACTTTTTCTCTTGGTGGTATTTCACGAAAATGTATTGCATATAGTTGTTTTAGGCTACATTATAATTATTAGTTTTTTTTTCAGCATGAAAGAAATTGGATATAGAAGAAAAATTAATGTAGGTTATAGTTAAAAGCTGTTATGCCTACGATAAGAATCCTTTTACTAGTATTTATCCATCAAAAGATACAAATGAGCAACTTCAAACACTAAAATTATGATAGCTTACTGTAAATTAGGTAATATCAATAGTGTCCTGTTTATATGATTATATTTTAACTATTATCTGAAATTTTCTTCACTTTTTACGACAAACTGTTTCATATTGTATTTCTTAGAAAATGTTAAGAAGGAGGACCAGCAGTTGGCATAATGGTTATGTTGCTGGACTCCCACATGGCAAACCGCAGTTCGAGTCCTGGACCTAGAGGCTTGAAACTTATGCCAGGCTTGTGTACTTACAAGCCCAAAGTCCTAACAGAAATATGGAGAAGAGATTGCAGCATGGCATCCCCCTTGGGGGGGTGATTTCTCACTTTCTGTCTCTCTCTGTCTCCAGCAATTGCACGTGCCCTATAGGAAAAGCCTCTCTTTAAAAAAAAAGAAAAAGAAAATTAAAAAATATTATGCAAAGAATTAATAATTTACACTTGATCTGGTTTGTGAAGAATATGTACAAGTAAATTAGTACAGTTACAGAATTTAATTCTCATTTAAATCTATAGCAATTTTGTTTCTACCTAAAAATATTAATTTTATTTATTTATTTTAAAGAATTATTTAATTTAACCAAAGAGGGACAGAGAGAGAGAGAGAAGGCCACCAGGTCCGAACTTGCCCTTAACCACCACACTATCTGCCTGCCTCTACAAATATTAATTTTAAATAATATGTATTTTATAATGGTAACAACAATGTGATTTTTGCTTTTGTGATTTCATATTAAATAAATGAATCAGCCTAAATATTTTTATAAAAATAACTATCTTTTATAAGAACTCTAAAAATTAGAAAATGTAAAAATACGTAGAAATGTTTTAACTATTAATATAATCAAACTTACAAGACAGTACTAAAAATTGAATATTTTCCGGTGTCATGTCACAAACTCTGCATTTGTGCTTTTTCACAGAACACTCCTGTGCCACCTTCACCAGCTGTACAAGTGCAGGGCCAGCCTCAGAGTTCTCAGTCTTCATTCAGTGCATCCAGTCAACATGGAGATCCAATGAGAAAACCTGGACAGAACTTCATGTGTTTGTGGCAGTCTTGTAAAAAGTAAATGGAAATTTTATTTGATATGTGTGTTCTTTATTTTTGAATGCTTTTATATTTAAACTTATGTTATCTCTAAGTGTTTTGAAATTTTTCTTTTGAAACCACAAAGGTTTAGTGAAAATATTTTATGTTAAGTGTTATGTTTATGTGAGTCCATGGGCACCTAAGCTAAGAACTTCATTACCTAATAGTAGGTTATTAAGAAATAGAGTTCAGCATTAGTTTTTAATAAAGGAAAATTTGTTAGGTATTTGTGTATTTGACTATGGAAAAGAGATACATTTTTAATGTGATTTGAACTCAGTGGCAATTATATAATTTCTGTACAGTAGAAACTGAAGCAGTAATCTGTTAAAATGGTCTTAAATTTATTTGGGGTGGATTCCCCTGAAAATTGTTGTTAAAGACATACCATCTCATAATTTAGTAAGATAAATAGCAAGTAGAACCGAATTTCAAAGCTTTCTTAGACTTGAAGGAAAACTTGAGAAGAATGTTAGTTTAAAATAGAAAATCTTAGTTCATTGAATAGTACTCAGCCTTTTGCTTCAAATCATTTTGTTAAGCTCTAAGATTAAGGCATTCTCGCACTGTCTTAACAGACATATCAACTTTTTTTTTTTTTTTTTTTGAGAGAGAGATTTTTGCTATAGGATGTGTGTGCTTGCTGAAGAGACAGAAAGACATGGAAAATGAGAAATCACTCCCAGGGTTTGGCCACACTACAGTCCTTTCTCTATTCTCCTCGGTGTTTTAGGCATGCATGTACACATGCCAGCATGAATTTTAAGCTGCCAGGTTCAAGACTCAAACTTAGATCAACAACATGGGAGTCCAGAAATGTAATCATTATGCCATCTGCTGGTCCCTTATTCTTCATTTTTAGATACAAAGCTTCCATTTCACTCTTCTAATTGATAGCAGAAATGACCGTATCTTTATTTGCTGTTCATAATTTTTTAGTTCATTACTTTGTATTTCATTGTAAATTTCATATACACATTTGTTGTAGGATAGTGGCTATTCATGTGGCATAGGGATTATTAACAGTACACAAATTTGATGTAATAAAGACAGTGTTTATTGAATTTAAATCTTACCACAATGGTGGGATCATGAAATCATTTTAAAAGGTCTTGTTCAGTGGATTTTTGTTTGTTTTTCTTTGCAATGAGGAAAGGAATAAAGTATGTCATATTCCATCATGTCAGTGAGGGTAAGAATAGTTTCCAGTTTTATATGTATATATGTATATAATTATAGTGTAAAATCTGTTTGCCAAAACAGTTCTTTGAAAATTAATGCTGCACCACCCAGGTTGCCTGGTGATTAAGGTGGCTGTAACTCATGTAACTGACTGTGAGGTTCAAGTCTTGGACCTAGTGGCTTGGAAAACACGCCCAGCATGTTTGTGTACATGCTTATAAATCTTGAGAATAGGGTGGAGGAGAGGAGATTGCAACATGGTCATTCCCTCTGAGGAGTGATTTCTTACTTTCACTTTTTCAGCAAGTGCACGTGCCCTATAACAATTTTTTTTAAAGGAAAAGAAAAAATATTATTTGATCTCTGATTTTTTTCTTTCATTCGTTTAGTTCAATCATCTTTTTTACTATATATGTTGTTACTTGATTTGAAACTTTCTTCACTGGTGTCAGTTTTACTCTTTCCATTTGTTTTCTTATTTTTATGTTTCTCAGTAGCAAATAATAGCTGATGGTATAGATAGTCTGCTAAAGCTTTTTATTGACTTTTTTTAAAAGGTTGAGAATACCTGCTTTAGATGAAACATTTAGAGTACTTTAAGAAAAATTGCTGGAGAAGTTAATGAACCTAGATGTGCAGCATGTTCTCCATCTTGCTCATCGGATCAGTGTTACATCATCTGATAACATAGCTTTTCTTTTTAAGTCTTTTCTGAGTAAGACAGCTTGAACAAGATTTCTTAGAGCTTGTCATTTTTTAAGCCATAATTTTTAGGTAGAGCACTGCTAAGAAGTGCAATTTGAGTCTGCAGATGCAGATATTTCCTGGCCATCAGCTAGGACGGTGCAGTTCTAGGAAATAGAAATACAAAGATGACTGCCAGCCCTTAGAGCAGAGCTCCAATAAGCAGATGATAGTATAAGCAAGTGCTATAAAAAGATAAGTTTCATAGTACTATTGGGGGCATAAAGGACAGTTAATGTTACTTTGTGATGGTTGCAAGTGTCACTGTATATATTATATTTGAATTGGGTCCTGAAGGATGAGTAGGAGCATAATTCCAGTCAGAATGACAAACTCAAGAGTTTTTAAAGGACCAAGCATAGCCAGAAAATTGTGAGTTTAGAATACCAAGAGCATAAGGGCATGAAGAAAGTATGGTTTTTGTTTTGTTATACCTCCTTCAAATTTCAGGTGGAAAAATATGTGTTGATAGCTATTGTCCACTAAATGCTAAGTTCTCATTTTTTTTTTTATTATCAGATCATAAATGAATAGAGAACTGTATTTGCCCAGCTGTGGTGGTGTGTACTGCTAGGGCACCAAGCTTCACAGTCTAGGACCCACATAAAGGGGAGTCTGGGTTAGATTCCTGGTCCAACCTGAGAGCTGAGGGTAGTGATGTGTACCTATAAAACCAGTGTCTTAGTGAGGCTAAGGTGGTAGGAATGCAACCACGAGACCCTGTTTAATGAAAAGGAACTTCGTTTCTATCATATTTAAAGTTAAAATTATCTCCTTCACTGATACTTTAATGTAAAATGTTTAGTATCTAAATCCAAGGGGCAGCAAAGAGGTGAGGAGGTTAAGGCCAACAAGATCCCACGTGACCAGCTGTGTGTGTGGTTCAAGTCCCAAACCCAACAGCTTGAAAAACGTTTCAGGCATGTGTGAGTACGTGCACAAGATCTCAAGAGGAGAAAAGAAGGAAGGAGCAGAGATTGTGGCATGGCTATTCCCACTTGGGGGTGATTTTTCACTTTCCCTTCGTTTTTCTCTTTTCTTCTTTCT